CACTGCTTAACGGCAATAAGTCCATGCTGAAAAGATGCGGCCTTTCACAGCAGTTGTGGCTCACTGTCTGCGTAAACTGCGATTCGGCCCTCCACAAAACAAACGCACACTCCGCCAGCATTCACACACAATGGACGGGGAAGAGAAGAGACGCACCGCCACCGCCTCCCGTTCAATCCCACGACCAACGGCATACGGCCACAGCCCGCTGCCTGCACACAACGCACACGGAGCTAGCAATCACCCAATGAGCCACACGCAGCAGCGGATCCTCATCCATCCACGACGCGGCAACAAAATTTCCAGCCATTCCACCCACAATGGGATTCGGTGCCCAACTCAAACAAGTCACAGGCGGTGCATCACGCCAACAGCAAAAGTGACTCGCGGTGCGCGCTCCCTCTCTCCTCCTTCCCTTCATGCCCACGGAGGAAGCAGCAGCCACCCGCAACCACCAGCACACGCTACAAAAGAAGCATCCAAATCCACTGCAATTTGCATTTTGTGTGTGCCTGCAGGCACACGAAGCAAAGAAGTAAAAAACAGGAGCGGAGCATGTGAGGGGACGCACAAACAAAAATGTACAGCAGAAGCGCATGGCAGAAATAAAGAGAAAAAGACTGCTCAAGCTCATTATATTGCACTGCAGACAAAGCAGCGGCAATTCACAAAAAAATTATTAAAATTAAAAAAAAATCCATCTTTACCTTTCCACACCTCACACTTTGGAAAAAAGAAAAAAAGAAAAAAAAATGAAAAAAGAAAAAAGAAAAAAAATGCCGTCCTCTATTACGGCTGCACCCAAATGATAAAAAGAAAAAAAAAAAAAAAGAAAAAAGAAAAAAGAAAAAAGAAAAAAAAAAAAAAGAAAAAGAGAAAAAAGAAAAAAGGAGAAAAAAATGAAAAAATTAAAAAAAAATGAAAAAAATTTTAAAAAATTAAAAAAAGTCTTCCTCTATTACGGCTACACACAAATAATAAAAAAGAAAAAAAAGAAAAACCACACACACAAAAAAAGCACCCAACTACCATGTTGCTCCAGAAACTGTCTGTATACATTTTGTCCGGAAATAAACTTAAAAAGATATTTAAATGTTTTTCAACCGTCTGACCCTCCATGTGTCCGCACATCGTTTATATTTCATGGAGTCATCTGCGTGTTGCTGCTCCCCTCAGCCCTCTCATCGGCGCGTGAGTGCGGCCCGCAGAGCACAGTCACTCGTGTGTGTGTGGGGACTGAGAGAAGCACGCAGAAATGACGGGAGTCGCGTCACTCCATCGGAAGAGTGAGCGCAGCAAAAGAAAAAAAATCATCAGGAGGGAGAGAAATGCCGACCCCGAAGGATGCGACAGCGCAAAAAAAAAAAAAAACGCAAAGCAAAAAGCGAAAAAAAAAACACGGCGGCAGGGTGTGGCTGTGTGTGTGGCGCTGCGGGTGTCTGCCAGCCCTGGCCGCAAAAAAAACAAAACAAGAGGGAAAGAAATGTGTGCTCCGCTCCACAGGCCCTCGTCGCACGCCCACACGTCACGGCTCCCTCAGCGCGCCGTTCGTTGCGGCCCCTCCTCATGCGTGCAGCAGGCGAAGCGCACAGGGCCGTCGTCATGAGCGTGTCGGTGGGTGTGCGAGTGGAGCGGTTGGGCGGAAACACACGGCACCCCTCACAGGAAGAGCGCAGAAGAAACAATTAAAGAGGGAATAGTAGAAAAGAAAAAAAATCCATGGTGGTTGCCCTAAATCATCAAGCAAAAGAGAAAAAAAGTAATTAAAAAAAATTTTTATTCTCCACGGAGTAAAATTTGTTCCTAGCGGTGTGTGTGGGTCGCTGCAGAGGAGAGCGCAAGTGTTCCACACTGAGGCCGCACACTCCTCACGCAGCCGCAAACCCCCACAGTCCCAGCAGAAGCAGCGACAGCAGTCCGCTCCCAGCATAGGTAAAGCTTACCGCAGCCGCATGTTCTGTGGTGGCAGTACCCTCCACAGTTGTACTCCCCGCCAGTGCTTCGCCTGGGCCATTCGAAGTGGGGATCCTGTCCTTGATTGCACGCATCTCAATGGAATTCAGTGGGCGGTTGTACAGAAAGACGTTCTTCACCGTCACAGGAGAGTGTTGGCCGGCATCCTCACCGCATGCACCAAAGCAAAAGCGTACAAGCTCAAGTGGCGCCTCACCCGTTAACGGCACTTCTTCCTCCCCCAGCAACTTACCATCAATGTACACAGAGGCCTTTTTGCCTTGCAGCATGAGTGCCACTTGGTATCCCTTCTTCGGCTCCCAACTGCCGCTCTGTGTTGTTTTCCTGTCTTTAAGCCCCGTCCCCCACGTCTTATCCGCCGTATACGACAGTCCCATGGTATGATTGGACGCAGTGTCCCCCAACATCGCAGTCAGTAGAGGTGTGTTCCCACTCGGAGTCTCTTCGATTGTCACCGTCGCCACAAGTGTGAAGTCGTGGCTCAAGGATACATGACGCACATTATTAACCCGACTGTTCACAGACCATAGTACCCCGGAGTTAGACTCCGTCAACTGCAACCCATCTTTGGCCTTCCTTCCTTTCGTCACCGTTGCATTCAGGCAAAGGTACTCGTCGTTCCACCTGTCGTCACTGGCCGATGCGTTTGACAAAACTGCCACCAGACCCGCCGTGGGTATGGTCAAGTTGGAGAAGAAGGCGTCCTTTTGCATCCAAGTACTGAGGACGGACTTGATTGTACTCAGTTCCTCCGTCAGGCGGGAGAGTGAAATGGCACTGCCTTCACCGTTGCTCCTCTGTTGTAAAAGATGCAAACTCCCATCCGAGTACAGCAGTGCGTTGTCGAGCGTCTTACCCATAGCATTGTCCGTGGAAACAGGTCCAACATGAAACGAGCGGTTGTTGTCCGTCACCCAAACGTAGAGCGCAGTGGCATTTCCCTCCCCCGAGGCATACCCTCTCTGTGTGTACAGCATGACCTTCCTTTCCTCAATGGTCGCGGTAATGAGGGCATCCACACGCAAACCTTCGTCCCAAGAGACTCCTGATCGTGGCCTGACCCAAATGCCCGGAAGCGTCCCGATGGCCTCCGTCCACGTTTTCCCCATGTCACGCGACTCGAACACACTCTGGCCATCCACACAATGAACAATCATGAGAATTTGTCCCGTCTCCCATTCGGTGATGCGGGGATCAAGGCATTCTACAGTAGAAATGCTCTCTGGGAACACCCAGTTGTTGCCGTTGTCAGTCGAATAAGTGATCGAGGAAAAAGGGTAATTTTTCCCATTCGCCACCAGGGGAAACACAAGCGTGTCATTCTGCATCACAATGCCTGAACCACCAGCAGTCACAAAATCCCTCAGCTGATCTTTAGTGTGATTGGGGATCTGTTGTAAAAGCGACTTGGGTTCAGCCCAGTTGATCAGTGTACTCTGCACGCCGTCCGTGGACTGCGTGACCATACCCTCCACCAGTTGAATATCCCAGCCATCTTTCACCCAAATAACATCATCACCGTTGTCATATCTTGTAGTATCGCTTCCCACAAGCAGAAACACCTTACTGTCCCTCGCAACTGCTGTGGGCCGGTGCAAAACGCGCAAACGATTATCGCCATGTCTACTGCCAAGCACGGTGTGTGCCCTCCAATCCACCTTGGTGATCTCAGAGACAATGGACGGCCACTTCTCCGCAGCCTTGATGTACCCGGCCACAATGTCGGGAGACCAAATCCCAAACAAGTTATTTTCATGGCCGTTATATTCAAACAAGCCTTCAGCAATGGCAACCATTACGCCACCAGCACTGACAAGAGAAGGCGCAGCAAATGCTTTCTTCACTCCACTTTCACCATTCCCATCTCTTGACACCACCTGCGTCTGATTCGGCACAAAAACGTCGATCTCCTGCGCCAGTTGCAGAACCCCGGACTTACTCTCCGCAGCGGCTGCAGCTCCACTGTCGCAGCTAACCGTCACAAAAAAGAGGAGCAGCGCCGCGGAAGCAAACACACGCCGGGACATGTTAGGCCTCTGCGGCTCACTCTCTCTTCCTTCCCTCCTCCTTCCGCTGGATCCGGTCACGCGGCGATGGTTGTGTGTGCGGGGTGCCTTCTCTGCAGCAACACGTGAGTGCATATAAATATGTGTGTGTGGGCGGTGTGTGTGCTGTTGCTGGTCCTTTCAGTGCCTTCGAATTTCACAGTAGCGTTTAGCGTTTATTTTCCTTCTTGGAGAAGCGCAACAGGCAACAGCGGCAGAAAGGCAGCACAACAGCAGTACACACCGTCACCACTCAAAGCGAAGCGCAACATCACCATCCCCGCAGCCATTACTCCCCAGCACCTCTCAACAGCACACAAAAATTAAGGAAAAAAAAACATGTGATCGACCTCCCAATGAGGGACCGCAAGCCACGGTCCTGCAAATAAGCCAAGCGACAGGGGGCCACGTGTGCAGTGAGGAGCACGAGAGTTGCACTGCAACGGCACGGCGGCGTGGCACCCTGTTGGGAGCATCGATGCAGACGGCGACATCGCCTGCAGGAAGAGTTGCTTCTCCCGCTGAGCAAAAGGAAAAACAGCCTCAGCGCCCCAATGATGAGAGGTCGCGTGCACCTCCTCGCGGCACATGCAAGCTCTGCAGGCACAAAAATGTAGATGACGCTCTCCTGCACGCATGACGCCCGTCTCATCCTTAAAAATGGCAACCGCATCCTGTGGCACCACACGCTGCAGTCGATGTGCACAGTCTCCGTCTCCCTCCCTCCTTTCCCTCTCCCTGAGAACTCATCGGCGGCCGTGGCACACTCACCAACATGTCAGAAATCACTTGTTTTTCTTCTTCCCCCGCACATCGCACAGCAGCACCGCCAAACGCATGCCACTCCTTCGTTCGCGGATTCTCCTCAGACACGCCTCCCGCCACGTTCATCGGCTCACAGGCACACAGTCCGTAAACGCCACGCAGCCGCCCCGCTTGATGCCGCCGCGCACACCAACACGGCACAAAGCCACTCGGTGCAAGCAGCGTCTGGACACACAAAACAGGTTGCCCCAGTCAACAACAGCCCCCTCCAAGCAGTGAGACAGGACTCGTCGCTAACAATCAAACAATCAGCCCCTCGTCTCCTCCTTCCGCCATGCACGGGGTTCTGCCTGCCGCATGCATCATCCGTGACCCCCGGGCTCTCAATGAGCGAGCAAAACGCTATGCTCCCCTCGACTCAACAAGAAGCCCATTGACAATTCCCAACCAGTCGTCTCCATGGGCTGTGCATGAGGAGCACCACGGCAAGAATGCACAGAAGCTTATATGCAAACCCCTCAACTCATTCCACGTCAATAAGCAGTGTGGTATCATGCCTAGGCTTCACAAGAATGTCGGCTGGCGCTTCCCCGAGAGGCCTCCCATAAACACCGCACGTGGTCACAGTAAAGAAAAAGCAACGCCTCCAATCTGGCTGTCACCCCGTGGCAAACATCAAAGCACAATCCAACAAAATGCCGCAAATCATCACATATTTCACACAGACCATCGACAGCTTACGCGGCAAATGCACAGCACGGAAGAAGAGCCATGTCCACACACACGCAGCAAGAGAGTTGGGAAAAGCAGCCAAAGCCATTCTTTGTGAATGCAAATGATAATAACACCAAACACAGTGAAGCACCAGTCGGGCACCACATGTGGGCCACAGACACCATCCACCCGCCCATTCACTCTTCCTCCTCCCAATGGCGAGGCCCTCCTGCACCTCCACGAACACGTTTGCTGCTCAGTCATGCGGGCTTCTAACGCAAGCAACCAATATGAGTTTCGGTAATCCAAAATTCAACACCTCAGAAAAACAGAGGAAATGCTCGCAGAGGCCACACGGCTCCTCAACGCACCTTCCAAGCCCTCCTCACGACTCTGCAATGCGATGGAGACGAATACAGGCGGCTCTCGTGTCACAGAAGACGGCCAATAGAAGC